AGGAGGAGGAGGAGATAGAAACACGCAATACTTACTGGAATGTCAAAGATTTAGTTCCAAAGAAAACACACCAAAGAGAGACAGTCAGACGCGCTCACATAATTTCTGCACGTGATGCCTCTTCCGGCCATTAATCAAATGTGGTCTTTGCCTAGTATTTGTTTGGGCCATTTCCCACCTCTAATGAATTCTTTTCTAAGGTTAGTCGTCGATTGTTACCCTACTCACAATCATTTCCTCGTATCCACTAAATCACACACCTGAATTATCCTCCATCATAATATTTGTAGAATCAGGATGGAATGAATACATCAATTTCCTAGTGTGCCATCACTGGTGTGAATTTCTTTTACGGTTTTGGTTAGCACATTGATGAGGCAGAAAGCCATTAGCAGCATTTGGCCAACATCAAAATTTAACTTTGTCTGCTATAATTTATTATCAATTCCAGTATTGGTAGGCTTTCGCGGTTAAAACTTTTATTACCTATTGCTTAAATATTTAGCCTCCAGAAATACCCTAAATAAAAACGGTACGAAATCTTTGTGGTGCCTAGAGATGCCTAGTTGCCAGCCGATTCACCAGTTTCTTTCTAACTAATAGGGTATATGGATTTTGGGGTCAGATGTAAGGAAATTGTGTGTCTATTTGTCCTGTTTGAAAGGCAGTGTTGGATTCACGTTCGTTAAAACTGGGATAGTTGAACAAACCGCCCCAGAGGCAAAACTCCAATTTGAACGCCTACAAAAAAGTTTGATTTTTTTGTCATTGTAATTCTTTAAACTCTCTTCCCTCTAAACTACGTGAAGACCATTAGTTATAATAAAATAAATCCTGAAAATGTTCTCACCATTGGGTAGCGAAGCACTAAAAGTAGCCTCTTCAGTGCCCTAGGTGACAGGGTTATCAAGCCTCTGTCCACGATAAAAAATCGCTACGCAGGTTTAACCATGCCTTTCACAAGCTAGGACAAGCTTTACTATTGCTCACAGCACCAATTTTGCCTCAATATTCAATGTAAGATGTTTATAAGTTATGAAATGGGGTGTGGCCCCGTTAGTGACTAAGCGATCACTCGTCCGTGTGTGGAATTAGACACTTTCGAACGTGATGCAGAAGAGCTCTTCCACCTCGCAGCCTTTATAAGCGTATCTCAAGTAGAGCTCGTGGCGCAAGCTGAGCACTGTTAGTCGGATTGTGGAGAAGCTCTTCTAGAGCCTGAAGACAAATCAAGACCTGCTATGCCTTTACTTTGCTTCCGTTGCCTTCGCATCCTCAGCAATCATTTCAGAACTCAGAGCTCCCGACTCTCAAACAACTGCAACCAGCGTTACATACGAGGGTTGCTGTGACTTCACAGAGACACCGCGCCAACGGGCAGACTCCAACACCACTGCAGTGTTACGCGTGACAAAAAGGGACAAGAAGGGAGAAAAACTTACAACCCTTACTAAATTGACGAAGATTTTCTCTTAAGGTAAATACACCCTAGAGAGGGCGTCAAGCGCGTTCAAGTAATATCCCCTTGAGATGTTGCTTTCAGTTACAAATCTAATGTGTGCTTTGCTTAACATTTGTTAAGGTCAATTCCCATCCCTGGTAAATGCATTTCTAAGGTTGATCGTCTCTAGTTACTCTTTTCACGACTATTTCCTTTCACCTGCTGAAGCGCACTCTACAATTATTCACCATCATTGTTTTGCAGAATCGGGAGAGAATGAAATTATCAACTATCTAGTGCTCTATCACCAGAGTGAATATGCCTTGTGTAGTCGGTTAGCACTATGGTGAGACAAAGAGCTTATCGCAGCATCCGGGGAGTATCAAAACTTACTTTTGGTTATTAAAATTTCTTGTCAGTAAGTATACTGACAATAAACGCATTCTTGTGCTGTTAATCAATTCTTTGTCAAAAAGAAGGAGAATCATTCGGATAGCTTTTACTCCGTCGAATGCATTGCCGCGTTTAACACGTGGCTCATTCTTTTTCAATAAAGGCATACTAACCAATTGACCTAGAAATCTAGGTCATTTACCAGTTGTTCACACTTAAGTAAATTGTGGTTTTTTTGGTTCTTCTTACTTTTACTTGAACAGTGATTTCAAATTTTCCCAATTTGGCAAAATGGGCCCCCTAATAACTAACCAAAGGAGTAGCCAGGACTATCTCACTATCCACCTTTCTTGAGGTTAAACATTCTTAACTTTGAAATTAGGCTTTGCATTTAAGTCACAATCTCATCTGTCGATGGAAAAAATGCACTAAAATCCTACTTCAAATCAAACACTTTACCACAATACACACAATGAACGCATTACGATTGGATCGGTAGGGTGTATATTGTACCTGAATTTATTTGCAAAGTTGCTCAAAACACTGTAATCTGTAGACTTACTAAAAAATTTTCTTTCTTTAAAACCGAGACCCATGATACGCACTCAGTATGGTTACGTGTGATTGGAGAGCGGCCAAATCCCTACACGTATGTACAAGAGAAGTAAAGTAGGCACACAAAGACGCTCCGATTGGTATGTACACGAGAAAGATAGGGGCGCGAAGTTGTTTTCCTTTATTACCCACACACGCGAACGAAACCGAGGTTCTCGGCACCGTAAAAGTGATCGTGCGCTTGCAGGCTTGGGCCCTAAACTTACCTTCGGTGTGCCTCTTGTTCACGTCGTGCCGCGAACATACACTCAAAGCAAGAAAACGAAGAAGTAAGTCTGTGTTGCCCTTTAAGCCTGACACCATATCTGATCAGCAGAACTGGGGGTGCTGCATAGCTATGGGACCCATCTTCAATAGAACGCTGCCTTCTCCTCCTTTGTCTCCGTGGACGCCTGTCACTACTTCTGGTGGTCTCACAGGAGATGGTTCAACAAAGCAGTCTATGATACTTACAGCCACCCTCTGCTTTCCCCCAGGGACTTCTAGCTTCTACAAGTTTGGCCTTCTTATGGAGGCGTAGTTCCTTGTAGCAGATGCCAGCAGATAATGACCCTGTAAAGAAACCAATTCATCTCCAGGTGTGTTCACGCGTTTGACGGCTATATTTGTTTTGTAGAACTTGTTTGCCATTACTTGTTGTAGGCATTATCCGGTTATCACTCAGCGAAAATCATAACGAATCTCTTTTCTAAATATAAGGGATTTATAGTCTAGAGTAAAAGCTACTTTGATAAAAAAGGATGTCGACTACTATAAAGTGATTACAGTTGTGTAAATGGCCTAATTTACTTAAATTTGCAGTGACCTTATAAAGTGGTTAAATGAAACAATACAGTTGGAATGCTGGCAGGACATCTTTGCCTGTGAGTCGGCCTTGATAGAAGGCCTGAATAGGTGCAAAGCCTAAAAATTTTCTTCTCCCGCGGCTCCGTGCGAGCTTAGAGCAGAGAAATAGGAATTATTTAGATGAGATGATAAATTTCTGTAGAGCTAATAAAACATTGGAAAACACAAAAAATAAAACAGTACGAAGCGAATTAATATAGGCTCTTGGTGTAAACGGAGTCATTTGATAAGGACAATGCCTAACTTCAACAGCAACTTTTCACTAAGGTGAAGAAATAGTTTGTAAGATCATTAGGAGATGAATGCTCTGTAGACTAATTATTGTAATACGATGGTGGTTTATCCCTCGGTTCTTGTGAGGCGCCACTTTTGTTACTTCGAACTAGCCCCTTGTGGCTCGCTGGGTGGGCTGGCCTTTTGGGCCATGCCAATAGCCCAGACACCTTCTCCGTGCTGAATATATATATTCTGCACGAGCATTGTGTCTTCTTTCGTCTTCAGGGAGTCTCGGGACACTACATTATGCTCTCCGTGTCAAGCCACTAGCTTACCTCAGATTCGTGCAATTTCCTATTAAATATGCAACTTTCTGATGCCATTTTAAAAAAGGCAATTTTCCATGATGCAGCAATATTATGGAGGTTAGGTAATGAATCAAAAGATTCTCTTATTGGGCATAAACAGCAACTGAGTTTACTTTCAACTACACATTCTCTACAAGTGAGCGCATATTTCCAACATTTCCTCTAGGGTGACATGTCATCACCACCCAAACCAAATGATATGGCGATCACTCACAAGAGGGGACATGATGGACAGGACTTCGTTCAACTTTATCTAATGCGGAATGAGAATGCTTTGGTGGTCATGCAAAATTATTGATTAAAATGAGAGATTGATATGAGGAAACTGTAAGAATGTAGTCAAATTTGCTGCCAACGCTTCACTGGTTTTAGAAAAGGTGGTCGAAGTGTGTCAATCATAGGTGCCTGAAAAATTTATCATTCAGTCAAAATCCAAAATTATTATTTGGCATTCATTTTCTGCTTTCTAAGTATTTGCAGTTCAGTTACCTCTACGGTGTTTGTATTCGTTCCGCACCTTTGACTGTTAACTTAAGCAGATATATCCGTCTGCTTCGCTTTTTACAATTACAATTAGTGTTTTGGAATTGGATCTCTCCGAAAAAGACTAGACATATGGTAAATTTCCTACCCTCAATTTCTCACCCACTATAACGCCCGATTGTGTAAAGCCGTCCTCTCCTTCCTGAGAGTCATTCTCGTGCCATATGTGGATCCCACCTGATTCCCATGTTGCTTAATTGGCCTTAAGTAAAAATTGTTGCAAGGAGACTCCAATCACGTGGCCATTCTCTTTCGACTAAGAGACGGCCCCTGAATTAGCCAGTGATATGCCGCTTGTAGCTCAACAAGACAACGAGGACATTTCGCTTTACCTCTTCAAATCACGGTCACATGAGTCAAAGTACATGGAAAAAAAGCATTTCTCGCGCAAAACCTCAGCGTATCCAGTGAATTTGGCACATCCTGCTTAGATCCCGGGTGTCATCTATCTAATAGTGTTTACTCAAAACTTACCTGGTCACTGCCATTCACTGAGGTCAAGTGGACTGATTTGAGTTTCTCCAAATGCCTGCCTACATTACTGTACTACTCACACGAAATCATAATTTCGATTACTCAATCTTGCGTCTAGTGAATTGAGGGACCACGAATTCCAACTCTATTCCCATTCCATTGCAGGCCATCAAAGCCTCATTTCATAACAAACTAGCCGAGTCTTTACTCAAAATATAATTGCACACCATTTCGCTCCAACACTGTTCCCCCCATACTTTAATCCTTTGATTTATCATTAACATCCTTGAACCTCATGGGTTTTTAATGAGAGAAGTGTTATTATGCTAGCTTGATTTTTATTATGGTAATTACAGTTATCGGTGACAATTTTGTGTTGTGCATAACCTGGGTCCTGTGCCAACTAAATTAGCCAAAATTTAAATGAAAGTGTTTTGTCCTCCACTTCCTATAATGCATTCGGTTCGTTAGCATGACCAATGTAGTATCCCACGCCTCATCTAAATGTCAGACCCTATTGAGCAACAACGCAGCGATTCTATAGATTGGGAGGCAGATAATGTGATTACCTGTGCTGCCAAGTGTCTGGGTGCCTCCTGTTCTTTGGTGGAAAGGGGACGGGACGGTCTGCAAGTCCACCTGGTAAGGGGTGACCCCGGTATCAAAATGTTGCTACCTAACTTGGCCAAAATTTCAGCTCTATAAATGTTAGTAGTAGAATTTTGCACTGTGAAAGATGGCTGGTGGAAATGCATTGCAAGCACTTCGTTGCAGGTATTTCCATTAACAAAATACCTGGTCGCACTCTTCAATTTGATTACACCATCTGCCAAAGCATCCGAAATTCTTGCTTTATAGTGGATAGTTTGTAGTCCTATTCGGCGTACTTACTCGAGATTGCTTTCAAATATCATTATCAATGGATATTTGTCCTCTGAGTAGTCAAATACTCGCATTCATTGCTAGCGCGTCCAAGTTCCTGGTGGATCCTGCCCATTTGGGTGATTGTGGCATCGCAATCGACCAAACGACGTCTTGACGAATTACTAGACTACATGCCTTTTCTAAATTCAGCCCTGGCGGTGACTGAAGTAAATATCCAACCGTTTCAGTGGAAGTCGTTTGGCCCTATTCTTGTCAAAATCTTTGTCCTGGTACTGCAGTTAAGCCATTTATAATAAGTGGAGCATTTGTAGAGGCCAATGATACTTGATGTACCTGAAGTAAAATATGGCCTACTGTTATCATTTGCATGAGAAAATGAACTATATGTGCCCTTGAGACATGTTATATCATTTTGAGGATATTCATTGTTTAGACTCATTTAAAGTATTATTTGGACATTAACGCCCCCCAAGCTTTCCTCTTTACATCACCCTTTGTAAACCGTTAGGGCTGACTGTAACCTTTTCGACCACCAATCGCATGGCATGAGAAGAGCCTTTCCTGGATTCAAACTCGATGTCTAGATAAGGATTGTCAAACGCCTTTTGGAGTGCCTTCGTACAATGGCTATTTACTAGCGAAAAGGCCGTGATATCATAATAAATTGCCGCAATCGTGGGTGTAGCTCACTATCGGCTGTGATGCCAATGTAAATGTTCACTGCGAGCTACCGACGACCGTGGAGGATACAGTTCGAACTGGCATAAAAAGCTATGACTTTTACACTTCTCTTATTATTGTACATCTGTATGCATCTGTAATGGAGAATCATGGAACTGTGAGGTCGACTCGTGGTCATGAATTTACCAGTGTTGGTGAGCGATCATGTTTGTAGTCATTTTTTCGCTTCCACCTAAAATTTAAAATCTAGAATTAACTTTTTTTGGAAACGTTGGAAAATCAAACTTTTGTCCTGCTCTTTGGTGGTGCACAAAATGTGGGACGCCTAGTAGCCAAGTGGATGGCCAGGGTTGTCCGTCTAGTTGGATATGTGGATTTTGAGGTCGACTCTGAAGGAACTGCATTTCTATTCTTCCTATCCAAAATGCAGTGTTCAAATCATGTCCACAAACATTTGGTTGGTTTGACAACCCCTCCCCACAAAAAATTCTCCTTCAATTTGTCTTAAGCATGTGATCCTAATATTTCGTTGCATATGACATTTCCAACATTTTGAGTCCATTTACATCTCAGAAAAGTGTTTACTTAGAAACCAGTAGAATTGACTAAGTCTGGCGGCAGAATTTGTTTTCAACTTACGAGAAGGATATAGCTCTGCAGTCTTAGATCCCGTCCCCGAGACAAAACGGTGAATGGGCTAAATATGGAATACATCCAAATGGGATGCCTGCTATCAATTAATCAGTTCTTTTCAAGACGGCACTTATTAGCAATTCTGAAACAAATTAAAAATGTGGGCATTGTTCCAAGGGCTAAATAAATCTTAGAAGGTAATGCCACCACTGGCGGATATGGGTGTTGATGTAAGCCAGGTTTAGATTTGCTACGATTTACGATTTGGAGCGGTGACGTTAATTAGCTATTTCCGCATACCTTTAAATTGTCCATGTGAGCAAATTTTTGTGAGTTTTGCATCATTTGCATGGGGCCAAGAGTAGTGATAAAAACAGTTCGAAGTCCTCCATGTGTCCTGCTCTTTGGCGATGCACATATAGTGGGATGTCTAGTAACCAGGTGGATGGCCAGAATTGTCTAGCTAATTGAGTATATGGATTTTGAGATCGACTTTAAGGGAATAGCGTTTTCATTTTTCCTATTTGAAATGCAGTGTTGGATTCGCGTTCAGTAATGCTTAGTTGGTTTAATCAACCCTAGTCACAAAGCACTAAACTCAAATTTGTCACGAATATGGAATCCTAAGATTTCATATCATAATGGCATTTCTAAAACTTTAAGCCCATTCGCATCTTAGAAACATGGTTGTCCGGAAAACAAGTAAAAATGCACAGTTTTAGTGACGGAATTTGCTTCAAACTTACATCTTCTTAGCTGTCGTCATCGAAACAAAACGGTGAATGTGTGTGCTGATTTTGAAGTCGACTCTATGGGAATTGCGTTTCTCTTTTCTATACGGAATGTGTCTTAGTGGGATACTTGATATCAATTAATCATTACTTTGTAAAACAGCACTTATTAATCATTATAAAACACATTCAAATTATGGGTATTGTTGGAATATTTGGCTTCTGAGAATTAATTCAAATTAGAAATGGTATGAAATATTCCTTGCATCCTGCGCATCGGTGGTGCACAAGTGGAAATACCCAGTTGTCAGCCGGTTCACCAGTTTTGTCTAAGGAAAATGGTTTGTGAATTTTGGTGCCGAATGAAAAGGAACTGTGTGTCTATTTGTCCTGTTCAAAGGCAGTGTTAAATTCACGTTCGCTAAGGCTCAGATGGTTCTACAAATCGTGCCGAAAAAAACTTCAATTTGGCACGTGCATACATTCCTATTCACAGCATAATGACACTTTCATAACCTCCATTCCATTTTCGTAGAACTTGTTGGCCATTAGCTGGAGCAAGCATAACCCGGTTAGCACTCAGTGATCATCTCAACGAATCTTTTACCTAGGTAACTATCGAATTTATTGACCAGAATGAAATCTCTTGAAAAGAAAAACTACTTTCAACTACGATTAACGCCTTACCTAATTTATTTAAACTTGCGGCAACCTTACAAAATGGCTTATTGAAAATTCACATTATTTGGTCAAAAGCCAGGGTCATAATTTGACAATATTTTTTTCACTTTCCACTTATTTGTAATTCAATAGTGCCCGCGATGCTCGCATTAGTTCTGCATTTTCCACTATCCACTTTGGCAGATATTTTCTGCTGCTTTGCTATTTACACTCTAAGTTTTAATGATTGTTAACCTTGTTGGCATTCAAACATTATGATTATCGTGGGTTCTGTGTCAATCTGAAAATGTAGATGAAATGTGAGTCCTATCCTCAATTTCCAATAATATATTCTATTTTTTAACATGATTAATGCAAGATCCCATTTTCTATCCAAATGTCAGACCCTCATTAGAAGCGGATCAGCAATTCTTTTCATGGCGATGCAGAAAATTATTTAAATCCAAGTGTTTTTCTTGTATACTTTATTTATTGAAAGACACGATTGTGACTTAAATGCAAAGCCCAATTTTAAAGTTAAGAATGTTTCACTTCAAGCGTGGTGCGTAGTATAAAACAACTTTTCGTTTAGGTACCAATTTGGGAGCCTAGCTTACCTAATGTCGAAGCTCTGAAAGCACATTTCAAGTGGAAACAAGTGGAACCATGAAAAATCCGCAACTTACTTAAGTTGTAAGCAACTTAGAGATGTCTCAGGTTTCATGGAGTATTTGTTTTCATGCCTTTTTTTAAAAAAGACGAACCAAGGAACGATGCTGGCAATCCATTTGAGACAGTGGATGCTATCCAAGTGATTCTCCTTTTGCCTGACAAAGTGATGATCAGAAGCCAGGAATGAGTTTATCACCAACAAACTAACTCACAAGACACTTTACTAGCTACAAGTGAATTTTTATCCCTCACAGGTGGTACAGGGAGCTTTCTGCCCCACCAATGTGCTAACCGACACCGCAAAGGATAATCACATTGTGGATGATTCACTCCTACGGAAGAATATGCCTTGAAAATGGCATTTTTATTCTCATCTGATTCCGCAAAATGATGACGGGTATGCTTTAAGCGTGGGTAAGAGGAAACTGTCTTAAGTAGAGTAGCAACAGACGGAAAGTCTAGGAAATGCATTCACCAGAGGTGGGAAATAGCTCAAACAAATGTTAAGCAAAGCACACATTTGATTAGTAACTGGTAGCAACATCACAAGGCGAGGTTACATGAGCGCGTTTGACGCTCCCTTGTTGATACATTTTCCTTGAGAACCAATTTCTGATTATCCAGTAAGGGCTGTGTGTTTTTCTTCCCCTCTTGTCACTTTCTCTTGCCAGGCGTAACACTGTAGTGGTGTTGGCGTCTGCCGGTTAGCGTGGTGGCTTAGTGAAACCACAGCGATTCTCATGCATAACGCTGGTTGCAGTTGTTTGAGAGTGAAGAACTCTGAATTCTGAAATAATAGTTGAGGGTAAGAATGCAACAGAAATGGAGTGCAGGCATAGCAGGTCCCGATTTGCTATTTCAGTTCTCAAAGACCACTTCAACATGTCGACTGGCAGCGCTGAGCTGGTGCCACGAGCTCTATATGTGATGCTCTCGCGCAGATCGCCGGGATGGAAGGGCACTTCGGCTTCACGGTCGAAGAAGTGGCCCATTTTGAGCATGGATGAGCAATCGCTTAAGGGCTAATGGGGCCTCGCCACATTTTGCAACTCACAAACCTCCTTCATCACATAATGAAATTAAATTGGTGCCGGAGACAACGTTTAACCTTGTTCCACTTTGAGAAGGACATAGCCAAGCCTACTTAGGGATTCGATATCTCGGACAGAGGCTTGGTAATGCTGGACAACCCACAGTATCGAGGCGAGATACTATACAGGTTTACTACCTACTGGCGATTACCTTTCCGGCATTTGCTTTACTTTAGAAATCTCATCTTCCCTGTAGTCTGGAAGTGGAGTTGGCAGATTAAAGTGCCAAACAAAACTAAAATTTTTTGCAGTCGAGAAAGTGGAATGGGAAAATCGGGTTGAAGGAAACTCTTCCAAGGTACTTGTGCTTTTATCGTGTACTAAACAGTAAAAAATACTTGGATATGTTTCATTAGAGCTCACTTTCACTTAAACCTTAAAAATAAGCGTCAATTGGGCGAAGTAGTGATCGGCTAATTGCACTATGCCTTCACTCAATTTCTTGCATATTTACCAGGATTTTAGTCAAAAAAGGGGGGACGCAACATGAGTGACAGTGATTATTCAATTTTGTAACCTTCTATTTCGAGGGAAGCAAATCGTTTGCTCTTTGATTTGAGAGGCTGATTCGTGTTAATGTTTAGGTGTTTGAGGTATGCATTGGCTCTCCCTCCTTGGTCAAGTAAAGCCAAACAAGGTTTTCGAATGCCAAAACTTTTGACCGTTATACTCAATAGTTTCCTACTCTGGTATAACTCTCAACGATTTAGTGGACAGCCTTGTATCCTCCCATTCCAACGCTTCCAGCTTCCAACATTTGAATTGGACGAGGCCATCCACCGACCTCACTGCGATTGCTTCAATTTCATTCGTCTGATCGTGAAAGGCTTTGACAGATCTCATCTTCGTTAAACTCACTCAGGGATCATCGCAGTGAGGTTGCCCTGACTGGCATGACATAACACCACACCTACAGACTAAAGCTGAAGCCGAAGGAACGGGGCAAGCTTAAACGGTGATACTCTGGCCTGTGGGTTGTAGGCAGTTGCGTTGAAGTGATGCACAAACCACAAGCTTTTTTACCACTGTAGCTTTAGCTTCAAGCATGCGATACAAATCCTCCAAAATAGTTGCTTACATCGACAGTTTATTTAGTGGGCGGAAGTAGCCCATGCGCAATGTCACGGCAGTTCATAAGGAGTAAAAAACACGACCTTAGATTACATTACCACCCATATTTGCCACAGGTGTCATGACGTGTTGCCAACTAGTTAGGTCTTGAAACAAGGCCCACAGTTGTAATTTAAATTATAGATTAGCAGATAAATGCCGTTTTGAAATGAAATGGTAAATTGATACCAGATATCTGATTTAGGCGCACTTCCTAACGAGTTCATCCACCGTTTTGTCTTGGGGATGGGGGCTAAGACGGGAGCGCTACATCAGACTCGAGAGTTTGAAACTAAATTTTGCCGCTATAATTGGGCTAGTTTTTTAGGTAAACGCCTTTCTGTGATGGAAATGGATACAAGGACTAGGAAATGTCATTATGCTGTGATTAGGGACGCATGGCCGTAGCAAAGGTGAGTTTTCCGTTGGGGTGTAGAGGGTTTGTCGAACCGTTGCAGCATTAACGAATTTGAATCCGATACTGCCTTCCAGACAGCACAAATGGAAGCACAAACTGTCTTTTGGGTGAAAAAAAATTAGAACAATTCCTTTACCTCTGACCTCGGAATCCACATACGCTATTGTATCTAGGCTATTCTGGCAAACCAGTTGGCAAGTAGCTACCCCTATTTGTGCACTACCAAATAACAAGACACCACGAGGATTTCGTACCGTTTCTTATTTAGAGCATTTCTTGGAGGTTAAATATTTGGGTAATAGACAATAAAAGATTTTGCCGCGAAAGCCAACAAAACTGGTAAAAGCAAGACTACAAATCGACTTTACTGCTTAATCACGCTTCATTACAAATGCATATAACAATACGTACAAATAAGGGGGAGGTGTAAAACTCTTCCTTAGGCACAGAAACCACTGGGTACAAATCCAGTTCGAAGGAGATCCTCCACAGTTGCCGGTAGCTCGCAGTAGACATTCAAGCTGGCATCACAGTCGACGGTGAAATGCATCCACGAATCCGGGAATTTGCTATGACTCCAGAGCCTTTCCGCCCGTAAATAGCGTTTGCGCGGAGGCACTCTAAAAGGCATTTAACAATCCTTATTTGGAAATCATGTTTAAATGCAGGAAAGGGTAGCGGTCACCTTGAAAGGAGAGTTCATTCGCATGACTTTGACATTATGCCAAACTCAAACACTAGCTAGCATAAAAGTATATTCTGTTGATTGAAGAATAGTAAATAAAGATCAACTTAATTCGTGGAAACAAATCAATGCACTATTGCTTGTCAGTTTGGCGAGCAGCAGTGGAAAATGGAATGCTCTGAGCGTTACACAAATGGAGGTAGAAACTGCACACACCCCATAGGTTTATTCAGATGCAGGCGCATTTTAATAACTCATATGGAAAAAATTGGCCTTGGTTTAAATTAGCAACCAAGGAATAGAGAAAGATGACAAGAAAATCCCGGAACGTTATTTATGGGCTGCGAACCGATACCATTAAAACACGTCAGGATGAAGAACAAGCGGATGGAGGTGAGAAATGACTAGCGGGAAAAGCTTGAATTGAGTTAATTTCCTTATAATTCATGAATGTTTGTACTAGTGACGATTAAAATAGAGCGCTGTCCAGGAATTGTTCAAAAGACTTCCACAACCCTGGCCTTAAGCACCCCATAACCTGGGCCATACAAGTGCCTCCTTCACCCTCTCTGTAGGTCGACAATACATATTCTCCCCGAGGGTTATATCTTCTTTCATCTTCAGGGAAGTCTCAGGGCGCTACATGTACCGCACACAAGAACGTCGATTTATCAGCAAAAAGTGAAATATTACCTTTTGGGAGAAACCATTTACAACACTGAAATAATAACGCCATGCCTGAACCCATGTCCATTGTGAGGCTGTGCGCTAACAGCCCCGCGAACCCCATCAAATTGCAGCGGTGAGACCGTCACAACTACGGGCGAAGTAAATCAGACAAAAATAGACGCGTTTTGAATGCTCTATTTCTCCTGTTGGTGGCAATTTGAGCCTCATGCGTGGTGAAGTCGTAATAAGAATGCACTGCAATGTGCGCAAAGTTACAACCCATTTAGAGTTTAGTTTGCTGTGCCACACATCGTCTTCAGGATCTGATGTTGGAAACTATCATGTCGCCATGTTTCACCTTCTATTCTTAAAGGAATCATTTTATCCGTGGTGACTCGAATATAGTGATGCCGAAAGACATAGGTTAAATGGCAGAAACATACCCGACATCCAAATCGTTTTTCTTGAGGTCGCGTTTCGAAGACGTGGTGTTGGCGGGAGGCCGCAGCCTCTTTGCTGCACTTCCCACCTTAACCAGCTTGCGGCTGAAATGAAAGAGATTAAAACGGTGAGGGGGGGTTTTGAGGAAGCCAAATTTTACACGGTGAAGCTTAGATCAAGGCAGCTTAACTGCTGATTCAGTTCCACTGCCAGGGATGAGCTTCCGTTGTGTGTGCCTACTACGACATTCAACATGCCTAAATAACGTACACAAGGCAGTTGTACATCTACTTCTTCTTACTGGAACCACTGACGATTTAATTACATTAGGATATGCCAACAGGTCTACCCAATAGGTGATAAATTGGTCTGCTAAATGCATTCCAACTGCATCTTTCGTGGCAGTTTCAAATGACAACGCATTCGTCACAAAGGCAAAGCAAAATATTCAACAGCTTTGCTTCCATGGTGACGGAATTCCGCCCGATCCCTCGTTAAAAAAAGGCAGCAAAGAGCTTAATAGTTCCCATTCCAAGTTAGGCAGTAATTACAAACAGGCGTCATGGGAACGAGACTGCCATGTGGATCTCATCTAAATAAACTGTTTACTTAATGAACAATCTGGAGGAGCATGAACCGACTTACGATTGCTCCCAGAGTATGGCGAGCGAGCGGTCCACAAAGTCGCGGGCACGCATGTTGGCGAGGAGGCAGGGCCAGAGGAAGAGAGCCAAACACCGAAGCACGAAGATGCGATGCTTCGAACTCGACAACAGGGCCGCCACATCAGGTTGATCCCGAATGACGGGGTCGAGTTCTGAAGTATACACCAAAGAAGAGAGACCTGAGTTCTATCATACAAAAAAAATGCCAGTTTTTTCTTTCATGATTTAAAAAGGCTAATTCATCGGAAGTAAAGCCTTAACAGTTCAGTCCTGTTATCCTGAGTTAAAAGAGTAGGATAATTCGGTGAGGATTCTGCGTGAAACCAAACACTGCTGAGAGATTTAGGGGGGACGCGTCATACTGACTTGTGATCGTTCTTCTGTGGAAAGGTCCAAGTTAGTGATGACCATACCAATTTTTGAGAGAAGAGAAGGCAATGGAAAATAAATGAAAACGAACTTACGCGCATCGGACGGAATCGCCACACTCCCCGCAGATGAGCGGTCGAAAAAGTTACAGTTGACCCTAACGATTTAAAAATGAGTATGAAATGAGGCGAGGTCGATGGAACGTTAATGACCATAGGATAGCCCAAATGAGTTCAAACAATAACAAGCATCAAAACACCGTAACTAATCTCAAGGGCATGAATAGTGCAGTTTCTCAACGGAGATATAATCAGTAGGTAATATTTTAAATCAAGTACACCAAGTATCGTTGACTTGAATCTAAGCTTTACGCTTATTATAAAAAAACTACCACAGTATTATTTATCTCAGCAATATGGAGACAATTGACTCCCATCCTTATTACTACTAACTGCAATCAGTTTAACGAATAAGATTTATCTTTTTATGGAAATACCTGCTACGAAGAACACGCAATGCGTTCCCCCCAGCCGTCTTTTGCAGTTCAGGGAGTTTCATTAATAGCACTTTAAGAGCCGAAATTGTGGCAAGGTTAGGTGGCAGCAATTTGATGCTGAGGTCACCTCTGTCCAGACGGATGTGGGGACCGTTCCGCCTCCCCTCCACTGATGAACAGGAAACACCTAGACGCTTGGAGACAAAGGTAATAACAGTATCTGTCACCCAATTGGAGAAATCACCGAGTTGCTTCTGAAGAGGGTCTGGTAGTTGGGCGAAAAATGGGATGCCGCCTTGGTTGTGCTAAAAACAGAGCACGACATTGAAAATGGAGGATAGAGAACCCATTACATCTGCATTTTGGCCGATCAGATTGGCACAGTGTCCACGTTACTCATAACCGGCGCTTGCTAACTCAAGTCAACCATAAAATTATCATCAGTTACAGAGATCTCCATCATAAAACTCGAGCTATCTAGATATCATTTCTGTCGTTATGATCAACTCTGCGTAGGGTCTGAGGTTCGAGGATGATGATGATGATAGTTAAAAGGTAAAAGTGGGAAACATTTTTAGGGCGAAGTGAAATGCAATCATATTTTGAGTAAGTACTAGGTTTGTTTATCATGAAACGAGGCTATGATGACCTGCAATAAAACGGCGATGCAGTAAGAATTCGTGGCGTCCTAATCTTACGAATCGCAACATTGGTACTCAAAAATACGATCAAATCTGATCAGTACGGTAATAAGGAATAGCTCCAAAAGTAACTCACGTCAGTGCGTCTGACCTCAGTGAATGGCATCGCCCAAGGAGTTTTGAGTGAACCCGATCTGATGGACGGCACCCGGCATCTGAGCAGGATCTGCCGAATCTGCAGGATACGTTGAAGTTTGGCACGTGGAATACTTTTGATAACATGCTTGGACTCATGTGATCGTGATTTGGAAGGGTCCAGCGAATTATCCCCGTCGCATTGTTGAGCGAAAAACAGCATATCGCTGGCTAATTCAGGAGCCATCTGTTAGACGAAAGTAAATGTGCACATGTTTAGAGTTCTCCTAAAATAAATTTAAGCCAAGGCAAAGTAAATGATATTAGAATCAGGTAGGATCGAAATGGGGCACGGAAGGAGGGGACATCTTTGACACAATCTATCACGCGTTGGGTTGAGTCAAAAGTTGAGGATTAAAAATTTAGCGTGTGTCTAGGTCTGTTCGAAGAGACCCAATCCCAAAACATTGATTGAATCAGGTTAAGCATTATTATAATTCAACGTAAAGATCGCAAGGCATCAGACATTATCTGTGCAAGTGGGCATTCAAGGGCGTAGAACGAATCCAACACAGACACTACTGAGCCGCACATAAGTAAGAAGACGAAAAAAACTAGTGTGAATATTTCCAAGCCTCTGTGATCGACGCGCTTGAATTATCCCTTATCGGAACCGGTTTTTTAAATCCAATATCAATGTAAAAAGGACTGAAGTTAAGCGCACCAAGTCCAAGACACGGGGGTTATGACTGCTATAGGCCTGAGAGGCCGTATCGTTGCTGCTGAGCACGCGCTCAAATACCCTGGTAAAGAAGTTGCGATCCTTCAGCAGCCTTTCCCCAATCTCTTGTACGCTTGCTGATGCATCTTCATTAATGTTATGCGTCAATGGTTTGATTTTTCTCTTTCCATCTCCTCTATCCTGGTCGAGACTGGGAACATCTGGAATAGGCTGGTTCATTCGACGCGCTATTTCCGAGGACAGGAGAGCAAACAAAGCCGGCTTAAGCTGAAAGTAGAAAGTGTTTCTCAGTAAAACTGGAGACTCCACTCTCGGAGAGCAATCAAAAAAAAAATTAGATTCTCAAACACAGTGTAAGTAAGTCCAATAACAATAACAATATTTCGGGCATGAGCGAGAGTATACTTATGGGACCTTCCAGCCTGTCAATAATACACTAGGAGAATAGCATACCTGATAACTATTTATGAGTCTAGCAACACCAAGGACATTCAGCTGCTCGCCCGATGACGATGAGGGCTGCGTTGAGATGTCAGCAGCGCTGATACCTGAATTCGTGGTGGACAACTCAGACTTGGACGGCAAAAGAAGCCCCTCTTCCAAGTCAAGCAGGAGCTGGTTAAACTCGTAATTCATTTCCACCTTGAAGCTGTGCCTTTGCCCTTCTGGTGCTTCGTAGGGCTTCCGAGGCCTCCATGCTAGAAGCTAAGGAAATTTAGTACAAGAAAGTGAGACCATCTGTCCACTGGACGATAGAACTATTGCTCAACAAGATGCGCCATATAGGCATTACTCAAAGAATCTAAAGCAATTCTACTAATGACTAAATGGGATCATCACATTAAAAAAAAATAACTTAAATACTGATACGCCATGACAAACAAGAGAAGGTAAAGCTTACCCTTGAAAACGCGTAACCCTCCGGACTCAAAACACCCAGTTGTCGTAGCTCTCTTATCCATTCGCCAAAAATGGATTGCGAATCAAACAGATGTGGTCGGAGAGGCTCGAAGTCGGTGGAGGAGAAAAAGTCGTCCACAAGAACATTTTGATTGGGGAACCTCCGCAAGCGTTTCAATACGCTAGCTAGGGTCCTGCAGCTCCGTAATCGGTTCAGCAGGGCAGACATCGCACGGCCAGGGAAGTAAGGAAGGATGTTGACGGCAATAACTAAAAAGTAAAAAGGCAAGTTGATGATTTCTAAGCTATTTCAGTGGTAGGGCCTCAGAAAAAAAAGAAGCCTACATGGACCGGTCTCATTGTTCGTGGTTTCCGAGACTCGGGAACTAAACTGAAAAAGGCGCCTCGTTTCTGCGTAGGTCCAGGGTTGAAACTTCTCGCATAGTTCGTTATGACGCAGCTCACATTCTTTAGCAGTGCGACGTCCACCCGGTAGCTCAGCAGCGATGACAGACCAGGTGCCAAGGGTGCCAGGGTTTTCGCCGGCGTTACCCCAGCCGTAGAGGCCGCCACCGGTGCCAAGACGTTGAATAGCTATCAAAAGGGCAAGATCCTCTTCAGGAGAGAAAGGCGCTTTCGGTGAGGAGCGAGTAAGCTGGTGAAGTTCGTAATACCGCCGCTGACAGGCAATGGCTGAACGTGTCTGTATGCGCGCACTCACCACTCCCCAGTCTACTAAACTTATCGCCTTGCACTCGTGGAAAAGCTCGTCGTCGACAATCAAGTCCAAAGACTCGTCTTCATCAGGACTCCAAGGTGCTCGCTGCAAAGCAGGTGGAGTTACTTAATTTCTAAAATAAGAAATCCGAAAATCGTAGCAACGACAGGGAACTTACGGAGGGGTGTTGGGGATTGAGGTGCTTATGCCAAGCCTTGAAGCAAGAAAAAGCGGTCCGCCCAGAACTCAAACGTTCAGATATCTGCTGCCATTGTCCATAAGGACCAAGTTCTCCCACAGCACGTTCTAAAGCAGCCAGTTCATCGGATGACCAAAGTCCACGTCCTAGTTCCGGACGTAGTCTATGGAGCCAGTATAAACGACAGAACTTTGCCGACTTTACGCTTTTTAACTAGAACAGTATGAAAATTCATTATGGTAAACGAGAAATAGATTTAAGATAGCCACACCATGCTATCACCTACAACATGCACAGAGATATAGTTCCAATCGTTATCTGTAAGAACATTGTGAGCGTTATTTAAAATTGAAATCCATTCGGTCATTGAAATGCTTGAGTCCTTGGCACCAGACTGTTTCGATTTGGCGAATTTGTCAAACTTGTTGTACCAATACACCGACTCGTTAATTGTATTTGAAAGTGAAGCAATGCAAGTCACAATCTCCTTAGGTAGCGCAGTAGGAAGAATACTTTTGGAGTGGTTTAGCCTTTTTTCAGCAGATTGCAATTTCAGAAAAATCTGTTCACGTTCCGAAAAACTCTTGTCCAAGTGGGTGAGCGATTCTGTAAGAATTTCAACCTGTTCATTAAGTTTTCGCTGGAGGGATATTCGATAGCAATCCACTAAGGCGAGAAGAAGTTTTATGGTCTCAGATTGAGTTACTAAAATAAGAACAATATTAAGGATAAACTAGAAAAATGAACCAACGTTTATGAAGTGTTGCATTGAGATCATCAGCAACATTCGTCTCCTTCAGCCTCAAACGGGTTTGCGTATCCACATTCATTGGTGGACACTATATGATAAATTTTAGGAAGAAAAACTAACGTCGTTTCCCTCTGTGCGGAAAAATGGCCTGTTTACGTAATTCGATTTTGCATTCATATATGATGCATCAGTCACTTTGTCACTATCCGGCGGTTCAGTCTGTTTGGAATCACAAAGCGAGCATGTACCAACCTCCTTTCTGAGTAGAGCGATTTCTGCTTCGATGCAGGACACCGTTTCCTTAATTAAGCCTTGAGATGTTTCATTCAAAACAATGCACCTAACTGCTGCCTCTTTATCGGAAATCTCTAAACAGCCATGAGAAGAATTTACACCACAGTCCATTCGAAAAGGCGTGAGAAAAATGTGATGAATTCTCCTGGGCTAAGTGACTAATAAATAAACGGCCCGCGATATTCAACATGTTGAAACATAGGCACTATTCAGACACAAAGTTTTATAGGTTCACTAATCATAAAGCATGACATCACGAAAACATAAAAAGGGTACATACAATGTGAAAATTTCAGCTCAATAAACAAACCATTGGATTTGTTTAGAGCATGTTTGAAAGGCAAAGTCAACGAGAATAACTACAGGTATGAGGGGACTGGAGTACTGAGTAGTTCTGGGCTCTAAGGCAGTCTGACACTGTTCTGCCGCAAAAGTCACCTTATTCACCTTTTTTCTGAGAAGGTTCATTTTAGACATCATAGGTATTATATTAGCCTGTATTTGACCCCATTTGAATATGCAGTAAAGAAAGCTCCAAAAAGCTCTTATTTGAAAAATTTTTGAAACAAAATGAACACCTTTAGCTAAATGGTAAAAGGACTAGTGTTAGACTCCCATTAAGGACACATGGTGCTGCTAAATTTACGAGCTGCCATTTTGTGGAATCACAAGCATTTTTGCCTCGGTAGAACCAAGCTTTTTTAATTCTACCTATAATTACTACATGGAATGACTTGATGGCTTTTGTACGAGAACTAAATACCGTTCTTAAATATAATGCACAGTTTCTAGAGGTATATAAATTCTCTATCAGGAGAAATAACTTTCCGCGTCAAAATTAGTAGTTGGACTTAGCAATATTTATCAAATGATTTGTCGTTTATTTGTGTCGGTACAGTATCACCAAGTACGATCTAAATGTGTTTATGTCTTTGGTTTGTTGACCTCCGGCGGTGTCCCAGCCCAATCCAAAAGGTAATTATTTAGTGTGCTACGAGAACGCGCCATAAGTAAATGGACCAGGGTCTAAGCCTGACGGCACTGTCCAGCTTTCATAATGCTGTGCTTGATGGTAAACTATATGTTCCATGCATTTTTTTAAAAAGGTGACGTAGTAAAGGTCAAGGCATTTCTTACTACTGGACTTGTTAAAGTTGACGAACCAGACGAGGTAAATATTAACCTCTTCTCTAACTGCTTACAGGATGGTATGACCGCTTTGCTCCAAGCTTGTTACCGTGGGAATGTTGAAATAGCTAAAATTTTGGTTGATTCTGGCGCTGATGTAAATTGGTCGAAACACAGGCAGGAATATACTGCATTAATGTTTGCGGCACTCGTTAGTTCATAATTAACATATAAATCGCAGCTAGTCGGGAAAACTGGAAATCATTAACTTTCTCCTCTCGTGTGGTGCCAAACCTGATATGACGAACTGTTTGAAACGAACGGCTGCCGAAATGGCTTCATTTGTCGGTGAGACAGTATAGGTAATTTTAATTGCCTCAAATCAGGTAATCACTTCGCGGCTGCTCAAATTAACACCTACATTGAAAAAGAAGAACTGATCCAGTTTACCAAAAAAAGTGCCGCAGAAAATTCCCAACTCTCTACCGACCTTGTTGAACCTCTTCATCACCTTGTTACCAATCTCAACTTTGCTCCTGTAAAAGTAGGTTTTCGCTTTACGCCTTAACAGAGTTTTATTGTTGGTCGGTCTTCTTTCTCAAGCTATTCCCCCTTACATATTACATAGTAATTGATTAAATTACCTACTTCGCAGGTTTTCCTCTATCTCTCTTCCGCTGCTGGAAAATCGCTCTTGGAGAGTTGGAAAAACGTAGTTGCTGTCCTAGAAAAACTAGTTGAACAGCATTTTACTCCCCAAAGGACTCACGAACACATCGCGATCAAACTCCATCTCCTATGCGCTATGGTTAGACGTGCTGGAGAGTATTTGGAAGCAGGAATTGATGGTGATGATAAGGAAATTAAGGCTGTCCACGAAGAAAAGAACGTCTTTGCTCTCGAACCTTTAATTAAGAACTTTCTTCGTGGTACCGACCCCCACGGTCTACCGAAGGGTTAGTTTAGACTTTTTTTCACCTAGAACTTCATTCTCGATCAACGTAAGGTCACCCTCCTCAGCCCGATAGTAATCATGCAGCCTCATTATAGTCAATCTGAAGACTTGCTCACTCTGGCAGTGTGAAAACCGTCCGAATTATATTTACCTGTAAGGGATAATCGAATTACCAGTATCACAATATCTTTTTTTTTTTGACAAGTCCTAGACGCCCACTCTCCTGTAAGGTTGTCACAAGCGTGAAGAGGTAAGGGTCTGGTGTGCTTTTGACAGGCCAGGAAGCATTCCTCCGGAAATGCCTCGTGTCCTTTCCACATGCGGAGTCAACTCTGTGGCGACAGACGGTGACGCAGATAGGAGGTGTAGAGGTGGGTCAGGCGCCGACTTGCCTCACTATCCTCGAGAATGCCATCAACGGTTTCTCGTCCTTCTCTCGCAGCACCTCACGCGATGGTATCATCAACGAGCCCTGCGCCACCTGCTCCGACATGCCCAGCTATGCGAAGGACCTCCAAGTCAAGTGGTGCTCGCGTTGCCACGAGGCTGCCTACTGTTCAGTAGCCTGCCAGAAGCTGCATTGGTTCACGCACAAAAAGTACTGCCCCATTCTCAAAGGTGGAGAACTCACTCATGATCAACCACGCCATTGAGTCGTCCTTATTTATCATCTCCATCTCTACCGGATTCTTGCTGCATTATTTCAAATCTGCCTTGTTATTTAGCCTTTTACAGACAATAGAACGGATAAACCTCTACTTTTAGCTAAGAATCAGGATTATCTCTTCCAATTCTCGTTTCTAGTTAAAATATTGTACCCTTCTGCTTCTACAGAACACCATGAATCCGTCGCGAGAAGCCAGTCAAAGGAAAAGGCCAAACCGACTGAGGAAGAGATGTCCAATTTTCAAGAAGAAATATCCGCATATTTGCCTCACTGATATCAGACGTGTCCCCATTTTAACATAACTATACTGTTTGAATACAAATTGAGGGTTGGTATTTTCCAACATCTCTTTCAAGCCCCAACGGTTGTCATTGAAGTTGGGAGTAAATTCAGAAAAATACTGGTACTGCAACAAATGTGATTGAGAGCTCCATTCCCGGTTTCACTCTCTCCGATCATACAAGGTTGGCAACTCCTCAAGTAAACCAATCGTCAGCATCAGGAGGGGTCCAGCGTATATGTACAGGTATTAAAAAACGTAGCGGGTAGATACCTGCGTAAAGTTGCACTAATTATAAAGTTTAATGATAATGACCCAAACTCATACACGTAGAACTCGGAATTGTAACGGGTAAATATTAATGCAGGGATTCAGAAGTACTACTTTTGTAACTTTTGTGGAGGAAGTGGGGCAATCAGCTGAGGCATCTTCATCGATGGCTTCCTCTGGGAGCCCCTCTGCCAGCTCCACCACCGATGGGACCCCAATTCTTGCGCCGACCAAGAACACCGCCTAGTGGAGGTCCGAAGGGACTGAAGGTAGAAGTGCTAGAAGGAGCAGAGGGCTTCCTAGAGACGTTCGACGATTCCGTCCACACAATCGGACGGATCTTTTGCTTGCTAGGAGCGGGAGCCATTTCACCAACACCACCTGTTAACAAAAGCCATTGTCAAGCGGTAGGCCAATAAGGGGTATTCAATCAGTAAACGCAGTGCCCCCTTTCTCTTACATGACGAGTAGATATCCACAATGCTTACTGTTTCTCCTTCAAATATTTTAAGCTAATTCCTTTTTAAGAAAAACAAACTGGTCAGCAATTCAACTGCACCGGTTCCAGGTGTCTGCTTGGAGCCCTGTATGAAAACCCATTAAAACAAAATAATCGCAAACAGTGGAAAGGGCGTAACTACAAAACTGTAACATTTTAGAAATACTGAAAAACACTTCTTACCCGGGGTGGCGAGCCTCGTAGAGACGGAGGCAGGCCCAGGAATGATAGATTGACGAATGAAGCTGCTGCCAGGCTGAGGTTGCTGTGTCAGAATGCTTGCAAATGTACTTCGTGGTGCAGAGGCCGCCATACCACCTACAAACATTGAGAGCATAAGTGTAATCATATTTTATTGGTGTTAATTTTGCTAGCTTCACTAAAAATGCTAAAGTGGATTACCGAAGAGTGAGCTAGACTTGGAATCAGTCGAGGCTAGGCGTTTCAAATCAGAAAACAGTCCGCCGGTTTTGGGAGGCATAGTAGAGCTGAAGAGGGTGCTAGGGGGTTCGATACCACTTTGGCTGAAAAGAGAAGCGCTCCGCGACGAGGTGGACGTGACTGCAGATGGCCGAGTGCACTCTGTTATCTCCCCTTCATGAGATTTGCCCTCGTTATCTTCGTCACCTTCTGTATCCTCGTTTTGACTTTCCACTTCTTCCACTTCCTCACCACTTCGAACGTCCTCATCACCTTCCTCTTCTACTTCTGCCTCCTCCACGTCGTCTTCGTCCTCCCCCTCCTCCTCTTCAGCATTTGATTCATCCCTAATCTCAACTTCTTCCTCCCCATCCTCATCTTCATTGACTTCTTCGCCTAAAAGAAAGAACTACCGCGAATGCAAGAAACCGAACCGCCTTTGAGTTAGAGAATTTACTGAGCACAATCAAAATAATTGTAAGAACCTACCGCTACTGAGAATAATCACTGGAGTGTAGGTTCCTCCCTCGTCTTGCTCCTCATCCTCATCTTCCACCTCCCTTGCTTCCGCATCTTCGTCATCATCATCATTATCCTCATCAGCTTCACAGTCGGTCTGAATAGCATTATTCTCCTCCTCCTCCACCTCCTCCTCATTTGTATTCACATTCTCCTCTCCCTCTTCTTCAACTCCCTAGAGATTGAAAGGCACAATATTGTTATAAAATTCGACTTTTAAATAGGCTAACAAATTATTTGGTTCTACAGATCCTAGAGCAGCCAATTTAGTCACCCAGCTTCCTGCGCCAACTGATAATCAACTCCAAATATTAACACTTAAATTTTTAGTAAAATTTGACAACGTAAGGCTTCGCATAATGCAATGAAGAGTACACTGACATTATGCATCTTATAAAGAGTGCTGCAAAAGGCCACACGTTAGTAAGAAAAATAGAAAATAATTACATCACGCATCTGATTTGTCCGTTCATGATGATCACTGGAAACCTCAGTGACTAGACCGAAGTCTTCTTGCTCCTCCCTTTCGGATTGCACTCCGGTATCCTCGCCCTCATTTAGCGCATGAAAGTCCACTAAAAGCGCCTCCTCCGTAACTGGCTCTTCCTCTACTTCCCTCCCCTCTTCCACGTTTTCACCATCTTTAACCGTCTCTACCCGAGCCTCGTCTTCCGCGACCTCTGCTCCTCTTGTTTCTACGTTAACAATTTAAATTTGGAACAGAAAAGGTGGCGTGATGCTAATATACTCAATCTCTGATATGATTTTGTGTCGGTAAGTAGGAAGCTTTCTTACCGGTAATCACAGAAGACGCAAGAGAAGTAGTTGGAGTTGGCACAGGGTTTACCGGAGGCACAGATAACACAGAGGCACTACTGGTGGCAGGAGAAGCAGAAAAATAGGCGGATTTAAGGCGCTTCGACACTTGGATGTCAGGTGAGGCAGAAGTGACTAGAGGGAAGGCGGTCTCGTCTTCCCCAGTTTCGGCAGTTGCAGATGTCTGCTGCTCGTCACTCAAGATCGCCTCCTCGTAGGTACGCTTTGTAACAAGGGAGCATCGAGGAAGTGACGACGCACAAGAATCTGCTCGATCATTTGCCGCAACAGACGACGGGCCCGCAGCCGAATGTACTGTTGAAGGATACCTTACAAAAGGTTTCATCGTGGCTAAAATTGTTTAGAGAAAATGGAAACGCTTAAGTACATCTATGAAAAGAAGACAAGGGAACCAAAAAAGCAAAACATGAATTAACTAATCGCTACCTGTGGAAAGTGGTTGTAAATCCAGGGTTTGGACGTTTCCTAGTACATTGGTGGTAGTTTCCGTAGGTTGGATATTGAGAGGTGAGAGGTAGCTGCTGCCATTAATGCTAGCCTGGGGCTCCATAGCGACTCCTGCAGTAGTGGTAGGAAGAACGGTGGCTACGAGGTTTGACAGAGGACGAATTTCTGCCGTCTGTCTAGCAGCAGACGAAAGGGGGCTTGGAGAAGCGGTAGACGGAGGGGACGTCTGCACTGGCTGCACTGTTGCTGCAGCTCGCAATCCCCAGGATGCACCCCCTGTAGCCACCGTCGAGGTGGCTGATTTAGTAACTGCTGCATTGCCCGTGGTCTCCGGCGATGAGATCGGCTGATCTACCGCTTCTGCCTGTACGTCAGTCGAGCAATTACAGATGTGTTGAGATGTCTTTCGATTCTGCCAATAAGATATGGGGTTTTCATGAAAGTTAAGAGACCTACCGAAGTTGTGGCAGCAGAATGCACGGTGCTGACAGCTTCAGTGGAAGCAGCTGCCATGACAGATGCCAATTGCGCTTTCAGTTCATCACATTGGCTCTTAGTTTTGGCCAGTTGGGACTCGATTAACTGCATGCGTAGGAGTCGCTCTGATTGCTCTTCCGCTTGACCTCGCATGCGGTAGAACTCGGCAATCATTGTGGAGAGAATGTGATTCAGACGATTATAGGTAACAGAAGCGCGGGAGGATGTTGGTATACTACTACCGATAAGCGATTCTGGGGGTGAATGCTTGATGGGGTCCAAATCCGGCAGCGACTGTAACCGAATATATAGTTCAAATACTCACCATGTCTAGAACAAAACACGGATCCCAATCTAGTCAGTCATTCATCGCAACAGAAGAATGACAACCCTTAAACTGCCAAAAATCTTTTTGAAGGCTCAGGTTTGTTCAAAGGTGATAACCAGTAGTAGTGACGTACTAACCTCAACTCGATCAATCAATTGCTGGAGGTGATCCATTTCTTGTCGCAACATTGACGACTGCTCCTGCTCAATCTGTAGATTTGCTTGAGCATTCAAGAGATCGGCACGAACAGCAATGATTGCTTCCTCAGTTGTCTTGATGCTCTTTTCTAAATAATGAATGAAAGGGAGTAAAGTGGCTAGTCAAGAAATAAAATTCAACATGTCAGACTCAGCAAATAACACCAAAAGTACTAACCTTGCTCCTGTGTATTGGACAGTTGACGCTTCAATTCATCAGCCTCTTGACGATACTTGCGTCCAATTTCACGAAGCTTCGTAATCTTGACCTGTCTCTTTGCCAGCTCATCTTCCTGTATTTTGCATTGGCCTCTTGAAAATTAAACCGTCATGTTCATCTTTGCGGTTACAAATCAAACAATGTCACAAAAAGGCCTAACCAATGTTTTGACAAGATGGAATCTAAAAAGTACTAAATTATGAAGTACTCGAGAGATGCAAGCTTAGCAGTAAAGCTCTGGCCTTCAGACTCGCGTTGGACGAGATTGGACGAGAGTTCAGATATCTGCTGTTCCAGAGCAGCGATACGGGCTGCCGATTCACGCTCTGCAATCGCTTTTACCTCTTCAGTTGCCTTCAAAGTAGCCTGCAACTGGTCCCGGGCATTGCTTAGAGGAAAGGGAGGAAAAAAGTTCGTTATTCCTCATCAAATTGGCGTGCCAAGGGCAAAAAGGGTGTTGCCTCGTCAAAGTGAGAGTCCAGGCAAGAAGCGCAGTAACTAGTGGACGTACACACCCAACCCATTAATAGTTTAACCACCTTAAAGTGTTCACCCAACCGACAACGAATGAGCCTGCAGTGATGACGCGCATAAGGCAGTAAAGGAAGAAACTACAGCCCATAAGTGATCATTTGTTGCAGGATCTGGCGATCGCAATGTCTGAGAGACCGAGTTTTTCTGCAGCCCTAGTGGCGCTGTTTGCATCGACTGGCATCTTCCATAATTCACAGATAAAAAATACCACAAAACCTCAAATTCCTCAGCTTTTAGTGGATAAAGACGGCTTACAATGCTCACCAGATAGGAGAGCAAATTTTTCGTTTTCAAACTAGATTTATATTTTCTACATGTCTCAAATGTTTGCTACAAATGGTTGAAACGAAACGATTTCTAGAAGGCATGGTTAGCCTTTAAATGACCTCTATGAACACTGATTCGCACAGCTGAATGTAACACACGGTGAGCTCACTACTTATGCTCGCGCCATACGCGCGTCGTGATTTCTACCCTACACATAAGGTTAACTTGAAGAAGTTAGCCAAAAAAGACCAATCGAAAATCAGTTGTCAGTCTAACCGCCTGACTGAATAACCAAAAAACGCATTGACTACAAAAATACGTACACACACGTACCACGCCTGCTTGTATTCCTCGGGGTCCATTCTCATAGAGGTCTCCACGAGGCGCGTACACCGCTCCTTCCAGCGATCCCGCTCCTCAGCAAGCGAGCGCTTCTCCAACGCAAGAATCTCTTGTGCGTCCCCCAGTTCTTTGCATTGCGTACGAAGTGGCTCCATTTCTCTAGCTAAGGCGGTCAGCTACGCCACAAAGGATTAAAAACGTTAATTGAAATTTGGCAACATCCATTGCACGCAGGACGTTAACTTAGAAAGTTAAGGCTACGAATTTACAGAAGAACACGTAAAACATTCCTGAGACAAGTAAGGAACAAAACACTTTGATCTAATAAAAATACTCGTTCCTCCGCTCGAACTGCAGCATCGCGGATCATCTGACGTTCCTGTCTAAGAAGGCGATTCGATTCGCTGAGCAAGTTCACTTGTTCAATTTGCTGCATAAGATTGGCATGCTGACTAGAGGTTTCCAGCTGAACCTCATTTCTTTGACGCTCTTCCGCCAACTTTGCCTCAAGATCGGCGACCTGCATCTCCAAAGTCTTGGTGCGCAGGTGTAGACGGCTCACCTCAGCGTTAGCGGATTCTTCAGCTGCTTCGGCGATTGACTTTTGTCTGCGAAGATACCTAGAGAGCCAGTACATTACACGCTTGTTAATGTCATGATCCGAGGAACATAACGGCACGAATAGGGGGAAAGTGTCAGATCTTACTCCAGTAGGTGTATGAAGTCCTCAGACTCCTTGATTTGTCCACCCGATTCTTCACAGGAGAAGGACTGGTCACTGGAACGATCCATTAACTTGCGAAGACTCACTATTTGCTCCGTCAACTAAAGTAAAAAGTGCGGCAGAAGGCTAACAGACCCAAATCTTACTACTATTTTAAAATATGAATGGAAAACAGTGAATTCACCAAAGAAAGTCAAATACGACCATCAAAGTCCAATAACAATAATATCAACTATGGCTTTGACAGATCAAATCAGTGGATTACAGCCAACATTAGCGCATTTTGAACGGGGTGACGGTACCGTCAGAATCTGCTCCTGGAGGCGATTGATCTCCGCATCGGCATCTTCAACGCGCTTAACGAGACGCGCACGCGACTCCTCCCAGAGGCTAGTCTGAGCCGTCAACTGCTCTTCCGATTGCCCCAATGATGCTTTGGTCGTCTCCAGGGCGGCTCGAAGACCCTCAACTTCTGCTCGTGCCTCGTCAGCCAGCTTTCGAGCCTCCGTCAACAGCTGTACATCCTGCAGGCATGAGGAAATCCAATGTTGTGTGACCGAAAATAAAAATATGGGCAAACCACGTATGAAAATAGCCGCCTTACCTGTGCATGGAGGCGGAGTTCCGTTTCGTACTTCTCTCGGGCTTCCTGGGCCGCTTTTTGGTGAGCAGCGACTTCGGAGTGCGCTGACGACTCTAGCTTGAGTGCAGCCTCCTGACGCTCCTCAGCATCCCTCAGTGCCAGCTGCACAGAGGCCAGATCGTCTCGAAGCTTCTTCAGCGAAGTCTGATATTCCTCAGTAAGGCGCGTCTTCTCGTGAATCAAGTCCTGGCGCTCGCTCTTCTCCAATACCAACTGCAGACTGAGGAGCTCACAGCCTGAATTGAACAAACACGAAAAAGGTTGTGAAAAGAACACAATAAAGTCGAATAAGAGCCTTCATAAACGAAAGACGGAAAGGTTACGTTGACTGGCGTCTTCAATTTCCGTCGCGTGAGTGTGTTCAAGGTGTTCCCGTTCCTTTGTAAGTTTTGCAATATGAGTCTCCATTTCGATACCCAGATGTTGGTATTCAGCGCACTGCTTACGAACTGCCTCAAGAGAGACGCGGAGCGAAGCGCACTCATGCTCAAGATTTCGCAACTGTGTAGGCATGAGCTGAGCCCCATCACCTGAAGTAACATCAGCAGATGTAAGCTGTTCATTAGCTGACGAAGAAGATGCCTGAGTTTGGAGATCCGAAGACCCTATGAAACAAATGCCAAATCTGAAGCAAACCAGGGAACAAAATAATACTCATTAAGGGGATTGGTATCCCATATAGGATTGGCGACTAAAATCATTTAAATGTATAAAAAAGCACCAGAAATACCAGTATTTGAAATCGGCGACGAAGGCTTGTTAGCAGCGATAGCCGCTCGTAATTGGGATACCTCCTCTTCAGCACTACGGAGCGCCTGCCTGGTATGCGAAAGTTCTGTTTGTAATGTTGCGTTCAAAGACAACAACTGCTGCTGTCTGTCTTCGGAGCCTTTTTTCAACTCTTCGAGCTTCGCCTCTAGCGCCTCAATGTGACGAGTAGCCTGCCGCGCTTCCATCTCCTCCCGGTGCTCCAGGTTGATCTGAATCGATTGCAGTTGATGCATGAGGTGCTCGTGCATAAGAGTAGTCTTTTGAGCGATTTCAAGTTCATGCGAAAGACGCGCCTCATTGGCCCGAGTGTGCTCCAGTTGACGGATGAGTTGGCGACATTCCACCTCGGCGGCTGCCAGACGGTCGCCGGTGCGCGCCGATTGTTCACGCAACGCAATGAGCGCCTCATCACTCGCTGCTGCCGAGGTTGTGTAGCGCGCGTTCATTTCGCGTAGAATGGAAATCTCTTGCTTGTAGTTGGCCACGTTGGACTCCAGGGTACGAAACTTCTCATGAGTGAAGTCCAACTAATGCGGGTATAGAAAAATTCACATAATCAACATTGGGTCTTAACAACACTCCTGAAAACATGTAGGTTGACCATTTTCATGGCGAATCAAGAGGGCTTGAGCGCACTCACGAATGACATACCTGAGCTGCCAACTTTTGGTTAAGGATTCTTGCTTCAGTAGACTCCCTGCGCAATTTTTCTATTGTTCCTGTATAGACTTCATCGGATCTAGCTTTGTCCTCACGATACTGCTTGAATTCAGCGTGCAAAGACAACAGCGTTTCTTCCAGTTTCACTATCGTTTGGGATTGATGCAGCATTTGTGTCGAACCGCCAGTCCGGTCTAATGCTGATGCTGACCGATCTGACAATTCAAGAGTAAAACCAAAGCCCATGACTCCTTTGAATAAAAAAGGAGGGGGTTTTGCTACCACTTACCAAGATGAGCAAGAACGATGGCACTATCATGAGGATTCGTATTCGAGTCAACACACTTTTGAGGTGTCAGTTCGTTACGGACAGAGAAATCGGGTAAGGGGATCGCATGGCGTTGGAGCAGAGCCTTGCAAGCGTCTCGCTGGCGTGCAGCAAAGTTGGCTTCAGATCTCGCCTCAGAAGCAGCCAAACGAGCCACGTCGACTTCACCGGAAAGCACTTCTACTTTAGCCGTGATCTCGGATACCTGATTTGCCAAAAGGTCCTTCTTCGATTCATGATCCTCCAACTGAGATGCTAAGTCCCTTGCAACTAGAAGAAGTCTTGCGTTCTGCGTCTGCAACTCGGAGAGACTGCGGAAAGTAACCAAGTTTTTGTCGATTACTGAAGCGGCAGTTGAGTTGTCAGCCGAACAGAGATTGAGGAGCGTGCGACTGTCAATGTCGTTTGTGCTACTATCGGGGAAGACTTGAATATTTTCCTCCTCAATAGACGTTATGACTGTGCCCCGGGCGGTTTCCAGTTCATGCAGCAAAGTTTTCACCTGGATAGAAAGGTCCTTACAACTCTGTTTCAGAAGTTTATTTTGGCGCTGAAAGTAGCTTGAGCGACGGCGCTGGTCCTCTGCAACATCCTGCTTCTCCTTTGCATTCGTTAAAGCAGCTCCCAACTGAGTCTCCAGTTCCGCAACCCGATCCCTGCTTTTATAAAAGGCCTCCTGTTGTGATCGTAGCAAAGGAGCTTTCTCCTCTAACTGCGCCATCATTTCACGAATGTGTTCTGTCAGGCGCTCCTTGTCCAGTTTCAGTAGGTCCCTTTCTTCTACAACCTGAGTGAACAAGACGTGTAAAATTAGACATGGCTGGCATCGGCATAAAAGCAAAAATACTACTACTGACCTGCACGTAGTCTGAATATATTTCAGTTAGACTTCTTCCGCGCTTCAAAGAGGCTATTGTAGTAGCCACCGCTGGGTTGAGTCTACGGAGTTCGTCTTCTGAGAGCCCCTGAATACGAAATTTGTCGACGATTTCTTTAGCAGCGGCTAACTCACGGGCAAGAGCCGCATTCTCTGACATTAATTTATCTTTCTCAGCCGCCAGGGCGTTGACGACACTAGTCTTTTCTGATTGCAATTTGGAGACATCTGTGAAACGATATACATGCCTTCAATTTGTGAGGAATAGAAGCTATGAGAAATAAAAGCGGGCAAAGCTTACGCTCATGTCCTTGCTTAAGCATCTCCTGCATTTCAGTCACAGCCTTTTGCATTTCCTCATACTTTTTTTCGACATCACTAGCCTGATCCCTATATAAATCAGTGAGTCTACGTTGAGCCTCCAGTTCGTTAGTATGTAGTTGTTCCGCATTGACCAGCTCATCCGTGCGCTAAAAAGATTTATACGATTAAAAAGATTACCAATTTCAACTTTTCAATGTGGTCATCATTGGACTTCGTTAGTTGTTTGACGAGATCCTCCAATTTGGCTATGGTGACTTGGGCGTTCTCAAGTTCCGTCCTCCTAGAGACCAACTCCGATTCAAGAGTTAGAAATCTCTCAGACTAAATGTGATTCAATGCTATCAACAAAAGAGTAGACCCACATTATCTCGCCGAAATGAAAGCAGTTTGTCATTTGCTTTATGTAATTCTTCTTCTAGCCAAAGATTCTGATTTTTTATGGATTCGCTTGTATCTTCTAGCCGTTTTTCACGAAGCTAAAGAAATTGATAAAGTCCTATCGCTGGAATTTACAGCGAGAAGAGCTTTTTCGGTTTTCACCTCCTCCAATTGTGTTAGAGCATCAGACTTCAAACGACGTGCCGACTGAACCTCATTCTGAATTTCTCGTAGTTCAGCAGATGTTTGTTCACATTCTGACATTTTTTTACTTAGGAGTTCATTTAGGCTCTCCTTATCATTTTCAAGGTTTTTGATAACCAACTCAAGCTCGGTGGTAACGGAAAGATTATCCACAAGTTTATTGTTCAAATTATCCCGCTCTCTTGTAAGTTCCAGAGACTTGTTCTCCTCTTTAGCAAGAGCTTCACGGAGGGTGGTCAGATTTGTGTTAACAGCATCAAGTTCGGATCTAAGGTGAGAGCATTCCCCTTGTAGACAATTCAACTCCCTCTCTATTAAGAAGTTATTAGGACTTTGTTGCTTCTTACTCTGTTCCTCCTCGTACCGTTTTAAACGGTCCTTTGCCTCAAGAGCTTCGTGTGATAAACTATCGAAGGCGACGGCAAGATTTTCAGCCACCTTTTCTGAAAAGCTAAGAAGGTCCTCCTCCGACAAGTGGGCAAGTTGAATAAGCGTATCCATAGTCGATGAAAATAAACCTAAAGGAAGTTGTATCCAAAAGTAAAACGAAGGTCGAAGCGGCTCTCAAAAACTGTAGCAAAGGACTAATGAAACACAACATCTAAAAAAAAAACAATCTGCTCGTAATTTGCGTGAATACAGGCCTCATCAATGGTGAAAAAGAAGACTAGAATGAGAAAAAAAAATTAGAACGGTACAGAAGAGGGTGTGCAACCCAGCTGTTCCCCTAAATATGCACTAAATTACAACTGTAATAATGAAAATACAGTATGTGTAATCGAAGCTGTCGACCTTACAAAACGAACAGTCTAGCGTCAAATACTAAATAGGAGTGTCATGCGTAGAGACGGTGAGCATATTTTCTTCATAACAGATTGGGTACTACTAGATAGGACTGCTGTATGATTGGCCAGGCCTGTTTAAAAATTTTGAATGTTAAAGTGTGTAAAAAATCAATTTCTCTCATGCGTTTGCACTTTAAAAAACTTCGGGGCTAAAAAAACTACCTTTAGTGCCAAAATGACTCTAAAAAGCATAGTTGCTACTCCAGTTTGGTAAGACCAACTATTGCATTAGTTTTCTGGGCATAAACATGCGAAATCCTGCACGAGATTTCGAGTTGCTGCAGTTTCCCGGG